TCCATGGAGAACACAGACAGGCATGAGGAGGTCTCAGCACTTAGCAGAGGGAGGGAAGGTGAGCAACGGAGAAAACTCTTGTTCAAGTGAACACAAACTCAGGGGCCTTCACCACCTAAACCATGACAGAGGCAGTTCCTGTACACCCCTAGTGTTTTGAGCTGTCTGGGTCTGTGGTCTCAGCCTCCATGGAGTGGTCTGAAGGACAGCACCAGGACACTCACTAAGTTGTCCAGCATCCTCATGAGGGCTTCAAATTCATGCTCTCCCAGCCGGCTCTTCTGCATGGGCCCGAAGGTGCTGCCTGCCCATTGCACAGAGCCCACCTCATGTGGCCGGTGTTTCTCTTGCTCCAGGAGGATAAGGTTCTCAGTTCCTCCAGCGCTGGACAGAGCTGACACCTGCAGAGAGACCAGAGCACTTAGTCACAGGTGTATGAAACCCCTAAAACTGCCATGGTACACATGAGGGGTTGTAGGGAGAGACCCTGATACCTGTACCTGTGAACAGATTAAGATACATGAGGGCCAGTGGGGCCTCAGGAGAATTCAGGATCCAGAAAGGCCCAGGGAACCTGAGGGAAGTATATGGACACTTGCTGGGTGTGCACTCATTGTCATGGGTGAAGTATTAGTATTAGTATTAGTATTAGTATTAGTATTAGTATTAGTATTAGTATGAGTATGAGTATTAGTATTCCACCTTGGGCTCAGTTCTTAGACAACCCAGAGGGGAAGAAATAACAAGTGTTAAACTCCAGGAATGAAACAACAGAGGACTGAACTGGTATCTGGGATATAACACACCTAGGTACCAAAACTGGTACCTTGGATATAGTCTCCCAGAGAACTAAACAGTACCTGAGAGGTAATGCCTCAGAGAGGAAGAAATGATACAGAGGGTGCTCTGCAGAATTGTAATTATCTCTGCGGAAGATGATGCTGGAAAGGGCTCCAAGGGGGCTATTGTTTTATAGACAAGGTCTCATGTAGCCCAGGCTGGCCTTGAGCTTGCTATGTAGCTTAGCCTGGCCCTGAACACCTGCTTTTCCTGCCTCTACCTACCAACACCTGGAATTAAAGATATCTGGATCTTCAATCATTGTCTGTAATATTTTATTTCTTCAATAGCAAACTATCTGAAGCAGATGGCCATAAGTATTTGTTAAACCTGAGTGGCAGTGTCATTATCTTATTCCCGTTATTTTTCCATATGTGTGTGTGTGTGCTGGTTAGTTTTAAGTCAATGTGATATAACCTAGAGTCATTTGGGAAGAGGGTACCTCAGTTTTGAAATGCCTCAATTAGGTAGGGCTTTAGGCAAGTCTGTGGAGCATTTTCTTGATTAATGATTGATTTGGGAGGTCCAGCCCACTGTGGGCAGTGGTAACCCTAGGCTGGTGGTCCTGAATGCTATAAAACCTCAGGCTTAGCTAGCTATGGGGAGCAAAGCAGTAAGCATCACTCCTCCATGGCTTCTGCTTCAGCTCCTGCCTCCAGGTTCCTGCCTTGAGTTCCTGCCCTGATGTCTCTGGATGATGGAGTGTGACCTGAGAGCTGTAAGGTAAGATGAAATAAACTTTTCCTCCACAAGTTGCTTTTGGTCACAGTGTTTTATCTCTGCAATGGAAAGGAAACTAAGACAATGTGAAGCATAAGATCTCTCTCTCTCTCTCTCTCTCTCTCTCTCTCTCTCTCTCTCTCTCTCTCCTGAAATGAATAAGGAGTCTCTTAGGCCAATGACCTTTAAGTGTGAACTCCTACTTCAGGGCCTGTAGATCTACAGAATGTCCCAGGCATAGGAAGAAGCCAGAAGAATTTTCTACAGTCTTATTATCCAAGACGTATGCTCATATGCCCATGCTTGGGTGATCAGTCACTGGGTATAGTGTCAATATGGCACAGCCAGGTGTGCTGCAGTGTCAGACAGCTTCTCCTCAGGGTTGTAGAGCTTGTCCCAGTGTGGATGGAGCAGTGCAGGCGGCTTCAGGCCACTTACTTAACTATTAGGGTAGAGGTATGTGTATAAAGCAGGCCATTTAGAATAAACTTAAAAGCGTCCATGCATTTAACCAGCCTCTGTCTCTCCCGATCTCTTGCTTATCTAGTGGTACAATCTACTGGACCCTGCATCCCTGCCACTCGGATGTTCTTAGTCAGGTTTGGCTTTCGGGGAGGAAGAGGAATGTCTAAGCCGTGCCACTACAGCAGTGTGTTAACTAACACCCTCACATCTGAGACTGTCCCTCACACAAGCTCACTTATCGGAGCTGCCACTCTGATGATCTAACCTGCAGTGCCTGATGTTTCAGGTCTCTGTCTGTGCTATGTGTTTGATTGTCCCCACTGTCCCCTGCTGCCTTGGAGAGACAGTGTGAGGGTGTGTTGCAGGGGAGTGGGCACCATGCTGACTGCGTGTGTTACATCACTTTCTCACCGTGTGACTTTGGGTAGCTATTTACCATATTGGTGCTTCAGCTTCCACCTCTGTCAAGTAAAAATGGCACTGCCCTAGCTACCTCATGAGGAATCTTTTAAGGTAATATGATAAAGTACTTAGAATGTTCTGGAGCCCCAGGAGCACCACATGGATGCTGTTGCTAAGTTAACAGAGGATGAGAGGCGGCCTCCTCTGGGACTGGTTGTTAATGGGGGAGGAAGGAGGGAGAGAGCACCCACAACCTTGCCCAAGCTGCCTCCTTCCATCTCTTCCTCCAGCAGTTTCCATGGCGATGGGTAGCAGATGGAGAAGAACTGCCTGTGCTTCCCATCTGCCTCTCAGTGAGCGATGACCCACTTTTCCAGAACTCCAAACCAAAGAGAACACTGGGCCCAAGAGAGCTAAGCAGGCACTTGGGGGTGGACAACAGACATGTCCACAGCCATGTTCTCCTTTCCACAAAGGTCACCAAGGGAGGAAGTAGGGCCCGTGGTGGACACAGAGCTCCATAGCTGTCTGCCTGAGTGCAATCCTGACAGTGGCTGTGGGCTATGGCTTCTGCACTCACGGTGCCCTGTCCTTTGCTTTTGCTCTTCCACATCTAGACCCTTCCCACCCTCTAGAAGCCTCTCCATCCTTGAAACTGACAAAGAGACACTGGCACTTTCCTGGGCTGGTTGCCAGAGTGATGTGGGTAGACGAAGGCACATCCAGCCAGTCCTGCACAGAAAGTGACAGCAGCCATCAGGCTATTAGGGACCAGAACTAACAGCTCTGTCCTATGGCTGCAAGTCAGAAGGTTAAACTGCTCAGGAGCCACTTTTCTAAGTCTGAACTTGGGACCTGTAGGGTACACAGCAGCAGCTCTCTCCATCTATGCAAAGGGCTGGGGTATCTTTGCAGAGAAGAGCTTTTCCTGTGGGCTACAAAGTGTCTACAAAGGTGTGGTAGGAAGCCCTTTACAGTCCAATGTGAGGAAAGATTGTCTTCCCTTGATAGCAGAGGTCCAGCCAGTTCTGATGCCAGGCAGTGGCCCAAGCTGGCACAGCTTTCTTAGTTGAGGGAGAAGGCACCACATCAGAGACATGACCTGGATCCAGGGTCCCATAATCTCTAATTCTGACCATTGCTGTTTCTTGGGATCATCACTCCACTCCCTGTAACATTTATTCATAAAGCTCACATTTAGGGTACCATAGGGATCCTCCAACCCTCACACTGCTGCACTGAACTCACCTTTCTCCAAGTGACACTGAGAAAGGTGACAAACTTCCTTTGGTGCTGCTCTGCTAGGCCAGCCAGAATAAGGCAGAAAGGTACCACGTGGGACTTGCAGAGAGCTGGCTTTTCCTGGAACTGCAGGCTCTGCATCTGTCATCTAAGCCCTAACAGCAGTGTCACCATCTCTTCTGGCCTGGAGAGGTCATTTCTCCCAGAAAACATTGACTCATGCCAACATGAAGAAAACAGGCTTGCAGAGGGCACATCTCTGCCCCAAGGATACACAGCCAGGGCTGGAGATGGTGGAGCCGAGAGAGCCAGGTCACGAGTCTATCCAGGGCTGCATAAGCCCAACCTCTATCCCCACCAACCTGTCTACCACAGAGTGTGTGCTCTTGGCTGACCTGCACCATAGAGTTGCCTGTACCAGCATTCTGCTGCTTTAGGGACTCTGTGGTCATTGACACCTCCCACCTAGCTTTCCCTTCCTAGTGAGAAGACTGGGAGATGAGCTGGTTCCCTGCATACCTTTGTGGGTATTTTGGCTGTTCTGGTTTCTATGAGAACACTGACTGGTCTCTTTTCACTTCTCTTTCCATGCCTGACCTCACTTCTGGCCCACCCCCATTCCATCCCATTCCCTGGCAATACAAGAGCAACCTTTTTTGTGTGTTCCCCAGTACAACTGGGTGTAACAGCCAGACTAGGTGACACAAGTGTGTCAGGACTTTTGTGCTGGTTTCCCCAAGCTGGCCTCAGGTCCCCTAGATATGAGAAGTACTAGTCAGAGGCTGTGATGGATTTTTCAAGGATGTGGATCCCTTTGTAAACAGGAAACTGAAAAAAAGTAAGGAAAGTAGTGACAGGAAGAGTGACAAAATTGGGCTCACAGGACCCCAGCTGACAGCCAGCGGGGCTTACAGTTCTCAGGGACCCATCAAAGCTAGCTCCTGAGCTTACTTCCCAGAGTACCTTGCATACCTGTACTTCACATGCAGCCTGCAGGTGGAAGACCTTATAGAAAGCCTCCTCCACGGTGTCACCCAGAGCGACCATGCCATGGTTTCTCAGCACCAGGATCTGTGGAGGAGGAAAGAGCTTGTTAAGCCAAAGCCTTTGGGACTGCCCCTCCCCATCTGGGCCAGCAAGATGGCTCAGTGGGGAAAGGTACTGTTATCAAGTCTGAAAACCTTTGTTCAAGCCCTGGGACCCACCTGGTGAAAGGAGGGAATAGACTCCTACAGATCGTCCTTTGGATTTCATCTGAGTCATGGTGGCGTGAACTAACCCCTGACCCCAGTGCCCCATGTACACAGACTAAATGAGTAAATAAAATATAATAAAATCAACCTTAAAAAATAAAAAGCCTCACTCCTAAGAGACTTTCAACTTAGACTTTGCTCCGACATCTACAGTTCACTTCAAATCAGTTTTTTCAAATGAGGAAAGAGAAGTTGGGAGAAGTGGAAAGTCTCCTGGCTAACTGGAGGCAGGATCTGGACAAGAACATGGGGTTCTCACTGGTGGAACAGTTTCTGCTTTGGCAGGGGCAGTGAGTAAAGGGAGTAAAGAGACCAGAAAATTGTTTAGATAAAGATCAATACTCCCCAGGGGTCAAGTTCTCCTTCCTTCCCCAAAGGAAATACTCATGGTTGGTCTTACCCACAGCAACTTTGAAGCCAGGCAAAGCATGTGGGAGCAGAGGCAGAGATCTGTGCATTCAGTCTGCCTCTGCAGAGGGCTGAGGCCTCAGGCTCAGAACCTCTCAGCCTCTTGTTAAGAGTGGCTGGAGTTCTTTGCTCTCCAATGATGGAGACTTGGAAAGAGCTCAGGGCTCAGGCTCATAAACAGACGCACCAGGAACATCCTCTCTTAGATTGCTGCAGCCCACACACTGCTGAGGACACCATGGGCTCCTCCCCCAAGGCAGAGATGGGGAGGCAGGGACTCAGGAGAAGTGACGCAGCTGCCACTTAAGGCTGTCTCAAAGCTCTTTTCCAGTGTGAGGTGGTACCCCGACTCTGTGCTAGTAGAAGACAGTGCTTTAGACTTAAGCCAGGCAACGAGGCCTTCTGCTCTCTTCTATCCAGGTGGTAATTAATAAATGGAACTAATTTATTAATGAGGAATTAATACAGCACCCAGCTTTGGGGAGGCTGTCCATCTATTAGACACAAGGAAGGGGGCAGAAGGGACAACCTTTGTGGGAAGCAATAGGGCAATATGAAGTCTGACTTATAAAGTGTGTCCCCTAGAAATGTCCAAGGGAGCCTCCTCAGCCCAGAGGATTAGCTGGAAGGGTTTCCTCCTGGAGTTGTTTCTATTAAGTGGAACCTGGGAGGTGGTGGTGGTGGTGGTGGTGGTGGTGGTGAGCATCTCCTGAAGGTTCAACTACAGAGGACTGCTCAGGTAAATTACAACCATTCCTACAAATATGGTATGATTTAATAAGCTGAATGATGGAGGAAATAGTGATGTAAAAGGGCATTTAGGGTACATTGCAAAGGAGAAGAACTGATTTCCCGGTTGCAGGTTTGTAAATATGCATGGACAACAGTCTTAGAGAACGCATCAACATATCAGTGCAATGTGGGCTTTAAAAAAATCTATAAAACTCGGAGGCTCAGTGGTTAAGAGTGCTTCCTGCTCTTGTAGAGGACCCGAGTTCGGTTCTGAGTACCCGCATCAGGCTGCTCACAGTCACCCTCAACTCCAGTTCCAGGGGATCTGATGCCCCCTTCTGGCCTCCACATGCACTGCACACATAAATCTTAATTATCTACAAAACAAATATTCTCCAATGAGTACATGTTGCTTTTGTGAAGTCAGTGCTCTCTCCATCTCTGTCTGTGATTCTGTGCGTGTGTGCGTGTGTGTGTGTGTGTGTGTGTGTGTGTGTGTGTGAACCAGAGGTGAACACTGGGTATCTTCCCCAATTCTTCCCCACCTGATATTTCTTTTTTTTCCTTTTTTGCAGATTTTTTTTATTTGAATTAGAAACAAGATTGTTTTACATGACAATCCCAGTTCCCTCTCCCTCCCATCCTCCCCTACCCCCCACCCCCCAACTAAAACTCTACCTATCACATATCCTTTCTGCTCCCCCTGGATGGTGAGGCCTTCCATAGGGTGTCATCAGAGTCTATCATACCCACCTGATATTTCTGAGACACAGTGTTGCATTAAACATGGAGCTCATTGATTCAATTAAACTGACTGGCTATACAAGCCCCAGGGGTCCACCTGCCAGCACTGGGGTTATAGGTACGTAACTGCCACACCCAGCTTTTATGTAGGTACTGGGGATGGAATTCAGGTCCTTGCACAGCAGGGGCTTTACTGTTTGAGCCATGTCCTCAGTCTTGTGACATCAGCTTTTGACAGTACCACTCCACGGCACCCTCCCAGAAACAAACCTTGCAGGTGGGTCCAAGGCACTTCTGCAAGTTGATTCGATCCGCTTCCTGCTCCATTTCTCCATTGAAGTCATAGTAGGCCATGTCCCCCACCAGCAGGGAATTATGGGAGACAGGCAGGAGGCCACACTTCATAGCTGACACCTACAGGAAGACAATAGTTGCCTGGCACCTGCAGCCCAGGCCCCAGGGTGCACTGGCTCTCTCTCCTCAGAACACAGCAGGGCAGCCCTGCTCTGGAGCCAGGGAGTGAGGGAAGTCACAGGAGGAAGACTATGCACTACCCAGGCCCACTATCATGGTGAGGGCTCTAAGGGCTTCCCATCACACTTGACATCACTCCGACAGCTCTGAGGACTGCTGGGCAAGCATGCCCAAGGAGGTCCCTGCTGCCCAGTCCCAGCTCTGTTCTTGTCTGTGACTCTGGGAGGAGGCAGGAAGGGCAGAAATGTTTCCCCCCTTAGTATGGTCCTGGGGCAGTATGAGTGCAAGGATCCAGGGCTAAAACCTGTGCTGGTCCCTGTGCTGGCTAGTTTCATGTCAACTCTTAACATATGCTGGAGCCATTTTAGAAGAGCGAGCACCAATTGAGAAAATTCTCCAACCAAATTGGCTTTGGGGCAAGCCTGTGGGCCATTTCTTGATTGATGATTGATGTAGGAGTGCCCAGATCACTGTGGGTGGTGCCACCCCTCGGTAGGTGGCCCAGGATGCTATAAAGAAAGCAGGCTGGGCAAGCCATATGGAGCAAGCCAGTAAGCAGAGCTCCTCCATAGCCCCTGCACCAGTTCCTGCCTCCAGGTTCCTGCCTGGCTTCCCTGCATGATGGATAACAAGTTGTGAGATGAAACAAATCTGTTCCTCCCTGTTGATTCTGGCCATAGTGTGTTATCAAAACACAGGAAAAGTAAATTAATAGTCTTCTACCCCATCTCTCATTGAAAGCAAGTACCATGGTGAGGTGCAGAGGAGCCTGACTATCTTGCCCCACTACCCCAAATCAGCCAAGACTGCAGAGACCCTCAATGCACATGCACTATTAAGTCTTAGACCTGATTCTGGGAGGTCTATGCCCCATGCTTCCCTTAGAAATCAACAGGCTGGTGCCATGTGCTCTGTCCTACAAGTACGTGGTCTGGTGTCAGCAGGAAAAGATCATGGCCAGGGCAATGCCCAGGGCCCGCCTTTTCTCCCAGTGACACTGCAGTGTCTTCCATACACGTGGAGAGATGGCCTCGCTACTACCTGTAATCTGATTATTCCCTCTTCTCTCCCCCAGCGTTACAGGACCCTTCCCCAGATTTCGGCTGCCTTGAACTGGGCCTGCAGACCCAGTTTCCACCAGCTTATTGTTCTGTGCTAAGGCCTTCCCTCTGAAGGTCTGGGTCATGTGGGGAAAGAGCAGCACGAAGCCAAACACTATTGACTTGAGTGGACACATGAGAGGCACAGTTGCCTGGCTGAGTTTCCAGCTGCAGTGGCAGCAGAGTGGGCGAGTCTGTGAAATGCTCTTCCTCCTCGTCACCTTTTACCAAGACCCTGGTCATCAAAAGGAAGGCTGAAATAAAGAGTCCTACACTGAGGATTCAGTCTCTTGGCCTGAGTTCCAGATTTTTCTAGGATCTTTATTTTTCACCATTATTTTATTGTTTCTTTTATGTGTATGGGTGTTTTGCTTTCCTCTCTGTCTGTGCATCACACGCTTGCAGTGCCTACAAAGGCCAGAACAGAGGGTGTGGAATTCCCTGGGTCTAGGGTTACAGATGGTTGTTAGTGGCCATGTGGGTGCTGAGAATGGAACCAAGGACCTCTGGAAGAACAGCCAGTGCTCTTAACCACTGAGCCACCTCTCTGCCCACTTTGCAGAATTTTTTAAACGATGACATTGCTATTCCCAAGATGATATCTCCTGGGAGGGGGGACAGGTGCTCCTGGTTGGCTGCCACAGAGAGTCTGGCACTGGGTGGAGCTCAGGGGGCTTCGAGGCCTTACTCACCGCAGCTGTGGCAGGCGTGTGCAGGTGGATGGCACACCGTACATCGGGCCTGGCGGCATAGATGGCTGAGTGCAGACTGAAGCCCGTGGTGTCCACTGGGAAGCAACTGCTGCCCTTCTCCACTACCTCTCCCAGAATGTTCACCTTGATCTAGACAGTGAAGAAGAGAACAGACTCAGAGTGGCAGGCAGCAGGGCCCCTGTCCTCATCCACACATGGACCCACTGTGTTGCTTGCCCATGTCCACCCCTCCAGATGACAGGAGGTGCTGGCCTTGGTATTGGAGGACAGCAACATGGAGTCCTGCCTGCAGTGAGTCTTAAGGGGTGACAGGTGGTGATGATTCTGCAGGGATAGTGGCGGGGCAGTTTCTCAGACTTTATCATGCATACTTCAGGAGCTGTCAAAATAGACTCCAAACAGAGCACTTGGCACATTTAGCATTTTCCTAAATGATGTCCAGGCTGTGGCCCACAAACCCCACTCTGAGTAATGAACTAAAAGAGAATCAGTGTTAGAATTGTCCAGAAGCAGCTAAGAGGATTCTAGGATGCCAGCAGAAACCTTTCCAGAGGAAGTCAGGTCTAAGCCGAACCATATCATTTTTGAAACATCTTAACATACACAAACATAAAGCGAATGATATATTGAACACCTTTCACCGGTCACGGAAAAGGGAAATAATTTAAGGACCGATGGAAAGAAGTCACTTTTTTAGCCAGTAGCCAGCTCTCTACTCCAAGAGACTAGCAGGTGGCTTGGCTAAAAACATTACATATAGTATGTGTATAAAGGAGACAGCAAGGGAGAACAGGGGAGGGGGAGGAGTAGGGGATGAGAGAGGGAGTGAATGAGCGAATGAGAGACAGAGACACAGAGAACACACATAGTGAGTGCTGTGGGAGAAATCATATACGTGCATGAATGTGTGCACGCATGCTCACATGCGCGCACACACACACACACACACAGTGACTAATGCTTGGCTGGTCATGGTGTTCCTACTTAACAAATGTAGTCACAAAGCACAGACATCAGAGAGGGCTTTTTGTGACTAATAAGACAATGGCCTCCTGCATAGAAACGGTAGGCTGTTTCATCCTCAAAGTGTCCCCCACCAACCCTCCCAGCACACTGCAAGGCCCATCTCTCAAAGACCCAAATCACCCAACACAAACCCAAATTCTGAGGCCAGGTCCTCCTAACAGAGTTGTTTTTAGCCTGCTGCGGTCCTTTAATACAGCTCCTCATGTTGTGGTGACCTTCAACCACAAAATTATTTTGTTGCTACTTCATAACTGTAATTTTGCTACTGTTATAATTGTAATGTAAATATCTGATATGCAGGATATCTGATATGTGACCTCCAAAGGGGTCATGACCCACAGATTGAGAAGCACTGTCTTAACACTTTAGTGGGCATACAGTCTGGTCCCTAGGTGCACTTGACTACAGTTGTACCTTTCACACTAACAAGCTAGATTTTAGTTTCTTAAAAAAAAATTTGCCAGGCAGTGGTGGCACACACTTTTAATCTCAGTACCCAGGAGGCAGAGGCAGGAGAATCTCTGTGAACTCAAGGTCAGCCTGGTCTAAAGGAGCTATTTCCAGGATAGCAAGGGCTATGTAGAGACATCTTGTCTTGAAAAACCAAAAAAAAAAAAAAAAAAAAATCACTAACTTTGGCCCTCAAAGCAGAAGCACCTATGACATCCCAAGTCTAACACACAAGCAGTTCCACAAATGGTCCCTCACCCCACCCCCCAAAACTCACAGATGTGGTGATATTTATTTGTGTTTTAATAAATAAAGTTTGTCTGAAGATCAGAGTACAGAGCTAAGCCATTAGAGGCCAGGCAGTGGTGGCACACACCTTTAATCCCAGCACTCTAGAGACAGAAGCAGAGGGATGTCTGTGAGTTCAAGGCTACTCTGGGTTACACACGATTGAATCTGTCTAAAAGAGAAACAGAGCTCACATCTTTGATCCCAGTACTTGGGATCACATGCCTTTAATCCTAGCATTAGGGATGTGGAGACAGAAGTGATATGGCTGGGCAGAGAGAGGAATTTAAGGCAGGAGAACACAGGAACTCAGAGCATTCAGTCTGAGGATTCGTCCCTACAAAGACAGGATTGCACCTTTGGTCTGAACCTTGGTAGATATAAGAGGTCTCTTGTGGCTGGCTCCTTTACTTCTCTGATCATTCAGCATTTACCCCGATATCTGACTTTGGGTTTTTATTATTCATGCTACACACAGACTAAAGGGAGACCAAAGGACAGTGACATCTTGGTGTGGGAAGAGCACTCAATTGGTACCATGTGCTTAGTTGCACAGGAACAGCATACAGCAGAGCCCTGTTGCAAAACCTCTCCATGGAGTGAGTTTTACAAAATGGACATGGCTTTGGAGTTGGCCTGACGCTGGCTGTAACATCAGCTCCAGCTCATGCATGTGCTCAGTTCAATTCTCCAGTTCCTCCAAGTGGCCCAGTCAGACTCCCCTCTCTGGCTCATGTGTACCTTATCTCATTGTTGGACCTGTGACTTGTGTCATTCAGGAATCTCCATAACCTAATAGGATAGTCAGAAGTCCATCCAGTGCCTCCGTCTAGATGAGAAAGCAGGAACTTGGAGGACTGCCTCAGAGGCACAGGCTTGGCTTTGGACTCCGCTGCTGTGCAAATTTATAAAAGAAGCCAACTGCGGGCAGCAGAGTTCAGGTGATTTCACCTCCTCCTTTTTTCCTCATCAAGCATATCCCTTCGGAGAATATGAACTGCATATCCACACAGTTGCCCACAGTCTACCATACCCCAGACCTCCTGCTGGTGACCCCGAAAGCCTGCCTACACCCCAAATCACCTTCTTCTTGTGATCCCCTCAGGTCTACATTTTGGGCCAGACCCCTTCTCAACCTACCGAAGCCAAATGCCAATTGCCTCTGCCTCAGGGCACTGCCCTCCTCCCTCCCCAGCTCCTCATACTCTGCCCCAGCAGCCAGCCCAGCTGATCACAGGCCCACTATGCACACAAGCCCAGGATTTCTTTCCCAGATCACAGAAGGAGCACTGAGCATTTGTCCTGATGTCTATTGGTCTTCCCACCTCTGTCAGGACAATTTGGAAACAAAGGAGACAGACTATCTCGCCTATACCTCCAGATTCCAAATGCTGAGCCAGACTCTTGCTCTCCTGTTCCAATGTGTTCCCATCCAAGGAAGCTTTCCTCATGACACATGGTCTAACTTCAACCCAGGAATCTTCCCAGGACTCCAGGCCACCTCTCACTCCCTCATCCCTCCAGCTGTGTTTGCTGCCTGCACCCTGGTCACATCATGCCCGAGGCACTCACTGAGTCAGTGCATCTTCTCGCCCAGGGAGGGTGTGAGTTCCATAAGAAACAGGACAGTAGGCTCTGATTTGGAGATGAACCTGTCTCTCCAGGGTCACATGGGCACTGTCACCTTAGTAAGGATCAGTACTGAGATGCTGACTCCCTGATCCTTACTAAGTACTTACCAGGCTAGATGCAGTGACCTCACTGCAGGAGACTCCCTTGGGGCTGATCAGGAAGTGGTCCTGCTCCTTGCTCACTCTCATCTGGGGAAGACAGATAAGAAACTCAGGGCCAAGCAGAGAGAAAGAAGAGATACTTCTAGGGACACTGTTTAAATCCCTGTCTCCCAGAATTCACTGCGCCAAGGCTTTTTCCAGTGAACCCTCCTCCACAGAGAGATGAAGAGGTTTGGTGTTTATTTAAGCTGTGGAAATGGAGCTTCCAGAGGAATCCCACAAAAATTAGGGACAGTGGGCAGGAGAAATGGCTCAGAGGTTAAGAGCACCGACTGCTCTTCCAGAGGTCCTGAGTTCAATTCCCAGTCACCACATGGTGGCTCACAACCATCTGTAATGAGATCTGGTGCCCTCTTCTAGTGTGCAGATATACATGGAATCGGAATCTTGTATACATAATAAATAAACCAAAAAAAAAATTAGGGACAGCCCTGGATACAGGAACTGGTTCCCATCCGAAGAGATGCCCCCTGGGCAGTTGTTTATTCTGCTGATCATAATGGTTAGCAGTCTTGGAAGAGGTGAGTGGGATTTTAATCAAGAGCCACTAATAGTGCTTGGCCATCCTGGGAGTTAGGGGTCTTCCTTTTAGGTTTTGTGGGGAAAGGGGGTTAGGGGCTGGGCACAGGGTGCCTGCTCCTCACCGTGACGTAGGTGTCGCTGAGCTGCGCCCAGCCATAAAGATCCAGGAGGCGGTAGACACTGGTGATCTTGCACCGCATAAGCCTCTCCCCCTTGGCCAGGTTCAGGGAGTCAGCAGTGTGGAGGTCATTGATGGGTGTCATCATGGAGAAGTCTGCAGGGATGGGGGGTGACAGACAGAACATCTCCCTGAGGACAGGAGTCCCTACCAGCCAGTTTGGCACTTGTCCTTTGCCCCTCTAGATCTTCCTGACTGATGCTACCACTGTGCATAATTCACTCCCTGCCAGAGGGCCACACAGCCCTCGACTCACACCTAGAGTAAGGAAGGTTGTAGAGTGGCCATTTGTGGCTTACAAAGCCCTCCTCTCAGCTGAGTGAAGCTGGTGTTACATTTTGAGGAAAGCCATGCCCAAGAGCTGGGGGCATAACTCAGGTAATACAGTACTCGCCTGTCATGCACACATCTCTAGGTTTGATCCCAGCACTACATAAAATATGGTGATACATATCTGCAATCTTGGCATTCACTTGGGAGGTGGAGGCAGGAGGACCAGAAGTTCAAGATTGTCCTGGGTTACAGAGCAAGTTTAAGATCCCCCTGGGCAACCTGAGACTCTGTCTCAAGGAAACAAACAAACAAACAAAAACAACAAAAAACAAAACAAACAAAAAACCCAAAGTTGTATCAAGGCTCAAAGCCATGAACAAAGTGTTTTGGAATTTCAAAGCTGCCATAGGGGCATTGGGTAGGTGTAGGCCCAAGTTTCTGAGTAGAATGTGCACAGTTGTGGCATTAGCTTTAGGGGAGAAGTTGCTGTTCAGAAGGCTGTAACCATGTTTTTAGTGACCCTGCAATAGAACTTACTCTGTGGCTTGGAAACAGGGCACATAGAAAGCCACATTAGCCAGGAAGAAATTTCCCCAACTTTACCCCCAGTCATATTTGAGAGCCACAGACCCAGCCAGGCTGTAGAGAGCGGCAGTGTCTGGCAGTTCACATCTGTTTCTGTTAGGAAAGGTCATACACAGCATATGGTCATATGTTGCTTTTTTCTAGGAATTTGAGGGAAAGGCTGAGAGATTTGGAAATGGGCCCAGGGGGGTTAGAAATCTTGTTCCCAGAGCACCCCAGATGTAGGAGCTGATGGCCAGCCTGTCACCTTAACCATAATAGTCACTGCCCATGGGCTTCAGGGGAGCAGGGAAGGTATAAAAGTTAGGGGACTGGAGAGTCAGCTGCTGAAAGTACACTGCTCTTGCAGGGACTAGAGCTCAGTTCCCAGCACCCATGTCAGGGTGTGTACATGTACACACACACACACAGTGATCACACACACACAGGGATCACACACACACACAGGGATCACACACACACAGTGATCACACACACACACACACACACACACA